AAACAGACTAAAATTATCAAAAAAAAAAAAAGATTTAAGGGTTATAAATTATTTCTTTCAATTTTATTAAAAAACACATCAGATGTTTTTGTGAATCATTTTATTGTATTATTTGAGAGATGGGGTCATGAATAACCAAATATCACTATTCTAAATCTATATGACTGGTCAAAATGGCCAATCAACGCTTTTAGGCAATTTAAACTTCCCATAAAGTAATAATATTCAACCCGAACCTTTATCTCTAACCGTTTGCGAGCAATTATCTAATCTAGAGATGGACCTGGTACCTGGTTTGGATCCGGTACCCGATGAATTTGGCATTTTAAGGATCTGGCCAGTTAACGGATAATGACACAAGGTACACGGCCTATTTCTGGGAAGTCTGCCATAATCAAGACATGAACCATTAATCGTACTGGTTAATACCGGATAACCGGGTTAACGGCATTAGTTGCGCCGATTACCCGACCTAATACGCAACAAAATCACTCTTTGGTGATCCGAAGCTAATCCAATCTAGGTCTACCTTTGCCCTTCTTACCTCCTGTTTCTGTTTCTATGTTTAGTTTCTCTTAGTAACTCTTCCTGTTTAGAAGGTGTCCTACTTTTGATTCCCTAACGCCCTCTAATCTCCTAATCTTATTAAAAATTTATCTTAGAATGCCTTTTGGCATTTGCCTATAGGCATTGATCAAGCCCAGAATTCGCGGAGCGCCTCTATTTTAATCATTGACTATAACATAGTATTGCGTTTACGTAAACCTATACTTTTAGTCTTTGCGGAAACGATAGTGTAGCGGGCACACGTGTGCGTGAACGGCTTATCGATTCGTCGAGTAGCCGCGGGTGCCTTTCTTCATGTGCGCCGTAATTGTAAATGTGTGTGTCGTATCTGCGTTCTGGAAAAGCAGTTAAACAGTTCAAAGAAAAAATAAACTATCCGGATGTTTCCAGAAGGTTCCAGAAAGTAAACAAAGAGTATTTAAAGAAGAGACGACAAAGTTCATTTTGTACGCTTTGAGTTGAGTTTGAATTTCGACAACCTCTATTATTTTAAATATTAGATAAAGGACGAATCTCACTAACGTACATAATCACTGAAATTAATATTAGGATAATTGTATAGGTGGATATTTTACAGCAACACAAGGTAATGAAAGTTAATTAAGTGAAAACAATTTTTTATACTTGTAATAGGCTCTCGGTACTCATGTAACACATGTTCCAAAGGTACATTTATATTAACTGGTAACAAATGTTGACTAGAAGAAGCAAGCAAATAAATAAGTGACTGAAACGAGATACCTGTCAAATATAGGTTCTTATTTATGCCGAAAAAAATAATAGAATTAGCATTCGTTGTGGGCGGGACGATATTTACATTATTGATTACATTGACAAGGCTGATGTAAAGGCAATCTAACAGGTGTGAGAAAATGTTTGGTGCGACTGACTGTTTTTGTTTCCCCCTCACTCCCACAACGAAAACATTCTGGCAAAATGCCTGCTTTCCTTTGGTCAAGGTAAGAAATCGCATAATTTTCACGACACTTACGATTACGGAATTAAACAGTCGAATTTACATGTATGCATATTATTTATAATGTGTAGAACATACGTAAACATACTGTATTTGCCATAGGCAGAACGCACATTCACTTTTTAAATGGCAAATGATTTATTTAGAATTTTGTATATTCGACATTCAGTTTTTGATCAATAAATTAAACCTACAATTTGAATTAGGAGATAAGTTGCGTACAGAATACGTAAGTACAATGTAATATGTTAAGCAACATCTCTCACTTGCAACGTAATATATCTTTCTATGGAAAAATAAATAAAATACTCCTTCATGCAGGTAGCTTCTACCTATTTTCCTGGGATTATATTCAGCTCAAAGGAAATTATAAGAAGTTGATTTCCATCTTACAGAAGATCCTAACAATAATGTTTTTATTTTTTTGTTAAAAAGCTTTCATATTTCAATAGAGATTTCATGAAAATTAATGGAAAAAATTAATATAAGAATGAAACAATTAGACAATGAAAATTCATGAGAAACAGATCACTAAACGATCAGAAATTCGAATTTCCAAAATACAGTTATAATGCAAGTAATACAAAATGATATATTCTGCCTTTGCGATAAGTTTTACTAACAATTTTAACAAAAGGTTTTGCTAAATTTATATATGTAATAATAGATTATGTGATTTTGTATGAGATATTTTTTCTACAGATAAACTTTTTGATAGGGGAACCCTTGTTAATGTTCACTTTTCGCGTGAAACCCCTGGTTTTGTGGTTTTAATGCAACTATTCCGAAATGGATTACTTCGCGGAGCGTTAACTTGTTTTCTCGCTTTGAATGTTATCAAAAAATACAAGTTTGGTAGAACCCTTCAATGATTTCTTCATGAAACTTTGGGGTTCCGTGGAAGACAGTTTCAGAAGCGCTATTCTAAAGGATTGTTGAATGTAAGTAATTTATAAGTTTGTTACAAAAAGCAGTGGTGGGGCATAACTATAGTATTCATTACACAAGTGGACACAATAACTAAACAAATCAATAACAGCAATGAATAATGTCTATTGTCATTAGAGAAACCGATTTTATTTGATCGTCCTCAACATAACTTTATCAATTTTGAGTGTCCGTTATCAACGGCCAATTTTACATGCACAAAGGAAATAAAGATTGCCTTAGGTACTGCTGTTGAGATGTCTTGAAGAAAAGATAAACTTGTATGCACATCGTAGGAAATTGATTGAATTGTAAATACATACTACCATAAAAAAAGACATTGTCTGGATATCCATCTCAAAAGAAAGAAAGATGTACCTAATATTATAAGTTATGTAATTGTCTAGGAAACATATATCGATATTCACGGTAAATACTCGAAAATAAATCACCCAAGAATCTAAGGACACATTTGCATAAACAGATAGGTATTGCGATTGAAATTAATCAAAATGTAATTTTTCAGATTAGCGTTAAATTTATACGTGGTAAACATGCTAGCAAGGTCAAGAGATCGTCGAAAAATGTAAGAGTAGTAAGAAAAAAAAAACAGGGAAGTAAGTCTAAAGGTTAATTCTATTTTTTTTTACTACGCCATTCAAACAGTAGGATGTCCAAACTACTAATCCCATCATCGTTTTATAGAATATAGAGGAATGAATAAAGACAGTTAAAATAAGTTACGGAGCTAATGTGTTAATAATTATCTATCAGAACTCACCACCGTTTAATTGAACAAAAGTGATTATGTACTATATTAGTACATTTTCACACCTACAAATTAAATGTTGCAAAAAAACAAGGATAAATCTTTACAAACGTTCACAATTTATATAATACATATGTAGGTATATTAAACGTTTTATATCCAAATTTTTTTTTCGATATTAGAGTTTAACCGCATTATTAAGGTTTGCCTCTGTGCTCTCGACTGGAATATGCCTATATTAATTTTGCCGGATGATCACTTAGAACTACAGGACCTGAATTTTCAAATTGCAACATTCAATACTTTGAATAACTATTTTTTATAATTTTCAATTAAGAATAAACATTCTTACTGTATTTAGACAGTATTTTAGTAATATTATAATTCAAATCATGCCTTAAAATTAAATTTGTTTTGAAAATTTGAAATTTTGAAGAAAATTTTAAAAATTTTCAGATTTGCAGTTTAATATTTTGTTTTAGTATAGGGGTGGAGAATACGCTAATGCCACTTCCACTAGGTGGCAGAAGTCTATGGCTATATTAGCTACCTCGAATTCTTAATAATTCCGACGTAATTTTTAATGTATTTACGGTTGAAAATAATGATATCTGTTTTACAATTTACAATATAAGCTACATTTATAAAGCTAAATAATTACAAAATTATGCTTATGATTAGATATCTTCAAGAGTTCAAGATAAGTACCTGGCACCAAGAAACAAAGTAACCGGTAATTATTTTTATTAATTATGTTGTATGCGTGTATGCGTGTTTGCGGATAAGTACCTGGCACCAAGAAACAAAGTAACCGGTAATTATTTTTATTAATTATGTGGTACTTTTTCACACAGATAAAGTTTTAACCTCCTGAAGTACGCTTAATTTGATCATACTAACAAAGGCTAACTTAATTGAACGATTTTGCAAATCAGTCTTCTTGATAAACTGTAAAAAGCAAGTATTAACTGTAATTTAATGTTGGTAAATATATGTGGAATGATTATTGCTTTATAAATTAACCGATTCTATTACGCTTCCGCCTTTTATTTTCGTATTGTTTTGGCACGTACTGATAAATGTAATTATCTCTTGATTGCCGCTTTTCTACATTCTGAATGTTGCAGTCAGTTCTCGATAAAGAATCCGCTCGTCTTTGCTGTTTTTCTTCTAATTGCTCCTCAGAACCGCATTATTGACAATGGCAGCGGTTAGCCTTGGTTCCCTTATTTACATGTCTTTGTTTACGACTCTATTTTTGTAACTTTGACTTTTTTTGCCTCATCTGTGAAACTTGAGATAAAAGATTTACGGACTACTACTGCTTGACGAGCTGGTGTGTGCCCTTCACTTTGCTGTGATCTTTCTGTAGAAAGTTTTACAAGCCAAGACGGTAGTTAGACAGTCACTCAGTCAGTCACTAGAGACAAACACTAATTTTCTCACACTTCGGTAACCGATTCTTTTGTCCCTGAATCGCCACGATTCAAGGTAACTAACAATAAAGGGAAGAACTAATAATGAAGTCGAGTTTTTTGCATGCTAAAATTTGCTCGCTATTCTCAATCCAATTCTACAGTATAATCCAATTCTTGTTGTAATTTTCAATGAAAAGAGGGATTAAAAGATAAAGAACTCTTCATAGACATTCGTTAACAGCATAAAATGTAAATACAAGAATCTTTAACCAATATTTCAAAAATGTTTAAATCAGATTTTTATATTTTTCCTATAAATAAATATTAAGGAAATGCTTTTTACCATTTTTGACTAACTGGCTAACTGAACTGCGTAGCAGACACATCTTATTGCCGATTCCTTATCCCAAGCAATATGGAAATGGAAATTTTCTTACCTGAAAAAGATAACAAAGTTAATCACCAAATGAAAACTTCACCCTTACATTTCTAAAAACTATAAAAATTATGTTAAAATGTGCAAAAATAATACCAGCAATATATAGTTATTGAGCCTTCCAAATTAATTCTGTTTGAAAATAACGAATGGTTTTGAAAATTCCGAGTCGTTTTATGCTTTTCCTGTTGCTGATGTTTATTTAAGATAAGCGAAAATGAAAAATGCAAATTAAATGCAACAAAAGATGTTTACCACACATAGGTTATGTGAGGATTCGTGAAATTAGGTAATTAAATAAGCTGCTGAATTGTAATGGGGTAATAAAGCCGTCGTAAAAATTAAAAAGGAAATTAGGTTAAAAGCCCTGCGAGATCCAGCACAAAAACCCATCGAGATGGAACGGAAAAGTGAAATGTGCGTAACAATTAAGCAGGCAATTACATCAACTAAAAGTTGACAGATTACGAATTACTTCCGATTAAAGCGCATGTTAATATCCGATTAATTAGCATACCAAAGTAAAGTCGGTGTCATTTAACAATATTAAAAATATGCCCTATCTGACCATAGAGTATCATAAAGTTGTTTTGTCACATGAAAAAAACGTAACACAAATAGGAAGTAAAAAGTTTTTAAATTACTAAGCCAGATAAATTAGGGACCGTTCGTGTATTATCACTCCGACAAGGGGGGGGGGGGCTAGACGGTCTTTGGGGTCGCGTAACGAAATGTGACAAATTTGATAAAAGGAAAAAAGATCGCAACAAAAATTCACTAATTAACACCTGCATGTACACATTGCCAGATTTGTCTATTATCTATTATCTATCATTTACATTATATAAATATTATCTAACTATTAACACTCTGTATAAGCATTTTTTTTATAAAAACTCATATTAAGACATTCCTGTATGTTTATGTTTAATTTCATTTATGGACTTTAAACGTTTTGAATTTCCTATTGGTAAAGAAAACATAAAATTAAAAAAAAAAACATAATTATTTAACTCATATATATGTACATGAGAAATAATTACAACAAATTATGATAATATTGATCGGCGTACATAATTATTTCAAAATGTACTCTTTGTATGGCCATATAGGTACGTCTGTACTTAATAAACGTAAAATTAAAATACCTCCAGCCAGTGGCTACAATAATTGTTGTGCAATATTGTATTGGTTGGTTCGGCTAATGAATGCATTCTGTGATTGCCCTACTTCTGTTTGTCGTGCCCATATGCGAATTACGCATACGAAACATCCTTTACAAAACGGGTTAAGCAGAGGGGCTCGTTAAGAATTTGATTTTTTTTCGTCTTGAGACGATTAAGGGCCGATGCGAATTACATTTCACCATCTTAACGTTCACGTATTATACATACTTTCATTTTTTATAAGATTTTTCAAGTACCTACACGCAGAAGTCGCTCTAAAGCCACTTATTACTGTTGAATATGAAAATTTTTTTTAGGAAACGAATACTATCAATCTATGTGTTTACTGCTATTATAATAGATGTAATAGTAGATGCAGACAGACACCGGGAGACCTTCAAATGGATATTTAAAGCGTTAAATAATATGCGTAATACCTTCTTTAGAATATGATTTAGCTGCTAAAAGCCACGTAATTTTCGCTTTAGGGAAACTATCTATCGATTCACCTGCATGATATGCTAATTGCAAGCTGGCATGAGGCGCACAATCTATCCCTCTTGCTAATAATATTTTATGTCTTTTCCGGAACAAGTATATAATGACGGAAAACCTTGGCAACTTTTAAACGCGTGTCCTAAAATTTGTCAGCCCCTCTTCCTGAGATAACGTTTATTGTCTGTTCGAATTTAAAGTAAAAACAAATTGAGGTAATTTTGGAGTGAAGTTCTCTTATCACACGTTACGCCTGCAGGAAGCTAATAAGCAAAAATTAACAGATGAATTTCTTTTTTACCGAAAGGACCCCACTAGATCTTTGCGAAAAATGGCCCTCAGGCAAATTCTTTGAAACATTGGATTCTGGTAGTTCCCGAAGTGTAAACAAAAAGTTTTTGAGATATGGTGTACTACACTTTTGCAGAATTGAACTTTAAGGGACCATATCTCAAAAAGATGAGTTTTCACGACTTGGCGCCTGTGAAGACTTTAGATGTATTATACGTCGAGAACTACCAGAATCCATAGTTTGACAGGTGGCCTTTTTCCGTAAGGAACTCGCTTATATTTCCCCGTGGATTCTTATGACAAAAAAAGATGTTTAAGCACAAAGAGCATTCATTTAGCACAAAAAAGAAAAACCATTTTTCTCTTTACTTATTCACAAGAATTAGAGGACTTTTCAAAGTGCAAGTAACTTTAACCCCGGATTCTAAAAGAAACGCCGGATTCGCCGAGTACTGGATCCAAACCCGGTCCATCCCTATTAAAAACATTGAAAACTTTACAATATTTTGTATGTTCGCCTATGTATGTATGAAACAGAATTAAAAAACTGGATTTGAAAGGAAATTATTTATTATTTATAGTCATGGTAATTAATTTGTTCCAACCATAAATCTACACTCATTATCAGTATGCAGTTAGTGCATTGTTATTATAATACGTATGTAGTGGGATGTAATAACGTATAATAAACAGTATTTGCAACCGTTTGAACAAATTGGTTCATAAACAACTAATAATATACACAGACAGACGGCTTCTTATTATATGTGCACTTCCCTTTATTTTAGGTCGGAAGATAAAACCATAATAAGTGTGTCGATCCTTATCAGAAACAGCGAGCGGCCTCTCTTTAATAACACTGGTCATAAAACAACTAGCATCGTTCATAATCATAATACAATGTTGTATCAGCAACGGAAACATTTACAGAAAAATCATAATAAGCAAATGTATCTATGTAAATAAATCTAATCTACAAATTACTTAAACCCACTAGTTAAGTAATGACGAAAAATACCAATAGTACTCGATTTTTTCAGCAAAAATTCGCTTTATCGCTTGTAATGACCTACTAATGAAAAACAAAGATCAAAGATGCCCGAATTCAGTCGCAGCAGAGAAAGAGTCGTTAAGTACGAAATATTTTTCAATTACAAGCTATTAAGAAAAACGAGCGCGACCTTAAACCAACTACTGCCATTTCTACTAAAGGCGTACACGGTAAAATAATTCGAATTGATCGTAATGATCTGGAGAATAAGGCAAATATATAGAATTACACACCAACACATTTCTCATTCTTTCGGTCAAACATCCTTGCTTCTAAATCGCCCACCGCTCAGCCAAGTTCAATTCAAACCCACTTCAAGTGCTCCCATGGTGAATGCGACAACATACTTATCCAGAATTATGAAATAATTTAAACCACGCAAGAGAAGACAAACATTTTTTGGTGGCAAAAAATGCACTGAATGCCTACACAAAAATTATTGTGACACCTCACAAGACGCAGCTCCAAGAAGGCAACTTCAAAAAGGTACAAATAAACTGCTTCACCAATTTATTATGACTTGCATGGGCGCAACGAAGTACAGTGAACTAAAATTGTTGTTACTGAAAAGCAATGAAAATCTCAAAGAAAAAAGAATAAAAGAATAAATTTTTAGAACGAGGACAAGACTTGTATTATCTAAAATTATTTCTTTGTCACAGATGAATTGCTTTGTTTGATAATTTGTAGCATTCGTTAGCAGACTTTCTACTTTTCTTTAGCTTTTGTTATCTTTATTTTCTTATTTCTAAGGGAATAAAGATTGGTTGAATATTGCAAACAGTTAAGTGATAATAATAATGCATTCCATAATTCTTCCCCTGAGTAATATCAACAAAATAATACGTGCCAAATATGGGGTAAAAGAATTTTTTAATTTAAAAAAACAACCAACGTTTCGCTTCAGTTTAAAGGCTAAATGCACCCCACGAAGAAACATAACTCACACGCACAGGTAAAGGTAAAGATAAAATGATAAATAACTAAAATCATTAAAAACTTGGATAAATAAATGTAAATTAGTTAAAAAAACATTACATAGCAGAACCCCAAGAGTTAGGTACAACGAACGGGGCAATAAAAACTTTTTCACCCCTTACTTGGCACGTATTATTTTGTTGATAATAAATAATGATTGTTGTTTTGCATATATGGTAACCTCGAATCTATCAGGGTTTCCGTCAGCTGACAAATATCACGAATACGTCGGAATCCAGCCGAGAAAACACGTGTTCAAATAACACTCTATCTCCATACACAATGCATTAATGATATGCCCAAGGCATTCTGAAATTCGACCCACTTGCCTATTATTTAGATGAGTTTTAGAAAGAATAGGGATCAGCTTCAAAGGACTGTCGCCTATTTTTGTCCGACTTTTGGAAGAGCTAGTTCGGGAAGCTTCTTCCAACTTCTGAGCCTGTCAAGAAGAAGTTCTTTGTTGTTGCTATCGACTATCTATCACACGTTTTTCATCGTCACACTAATTACAACTTGTAATAATTCAACTTCCTATTTATAGTTTATTCTATGAAACTCTGGGCGCAGAATATTTTCTGTACGTGATCTCAGAAAAAGTATGATTTATTTCCGATTTTGTGAGAAGATTGTGGATAAAAATAAAACAATTTTATTGGCATGTCAAAAAGATGAAGGTAGGGTAGGAATTTATAGAAGAATCAGAGACGAAAACCTAATAGAATCCGCTGAGTAAAGATATCTAGGAAGTCAGATAACTCAGGATGGACATAAAACAAATAATAGTACAGGGTGGAGTCGCCTTTAACAATAATTTAAATGTATCATATGGTGCACACAAAAAAATACAGTTGAATTGATAACCTCCTTCTGCTTTAACGTAGCTTTTTTGGAAACGCGATGATTAACTCAAGGACCATGTAATCATGATTTGTTACTAAATTATAAACTTCCTATTCGCATTAAACCAAAATAAATGTATTTAATACAAATGCAATTTGCTATTTATGACTTAGGCAA